ACATAAGAATAAAAAAATAAATAAATAAAATAAAAAAGAAAAGAGAAAAGAAAGAAAAAGAGAAAATTCAGAGCAGTTGGCCTTACGGCCAATCTACTGCAGTCCTGGCAATTTCTCATTAACTCCAGACCCGTAGGGCCACGTGAGGGCCATGGAAGGCATGTGATATGTGTTTTACTGCTTGAAATAAAGAAAACCTACCCTCATGGAACAGCAAAGAAGGTGTATATTCTTCTCCACTTGAGCATGGAGTTCTATGTATTTGCCAACCAGAAAACCGGGCGACCGTAGCCCATCTGATGGAGAGGAACCATGAATGAGGTGGCCAGAGGGTCGGACAACCTGCCAGGCCTTACTTCCCTCGAAACGGCCTCTCTCTCAAACCCCAGCTTCCAAACAGCAACGGGTCGAGTAGGACCAGGGATGAACATGGAAGCTGCCATTCCATCTAGGGTGGGAGCTGAAGAGACCCTCACAGAGGAGACTGGTTTTCATTTTCTCCACCCATGAGGAGCATCAGAGACCCAGGAGAGGTGGCTGCAGAGGCTCCCATGTCACTGGGGGAGCTGCTTTAACTGATGACCTCTGGTCAGGGGAAATCAAGCTCATTTATGGGGCCCCTGTGTGGAGCAAAGAAGGTGATTCCACAACATGCAAAATGCTAACAAGCAAGGCCAAGAGCAATCAAACACAGAACATGTTTGCTAACCTGGATTCAGAAAAGAGCTCTTCTCCTTGTTCTGGGATGGATAAACAAGCAACAAAAAACACACACAAAGTCTATAAAAAGGATATTGCAGAACACACTTCTGATGACTCAAGAGGGAAAAAAGGAAAAGGAAGAAAAGGAAGAAAATTGGAAAACTGTTCAGTGACTTCACTAAGAACAAAAGACCTCTGTGAGTCTGGAGCAGAAAGACAGCCTGATGATCGCTAGCAATTACTGCATTGTTTCTTCTGTTCTCATACTCTTCCAAACAATTTACAAATATTAACTCATTTATTTCTAATAATCAACGAGGCAGGTACTATCATTATCCCCAGTTTATAGAGGAGGAAATGGACTGAGGCACAGAGAGATAGGAATAACATACCTGACATCACACAGCTAAAATGTGGCAGCACGAATCCATTCCTAACCTTTAGACTATACTGCCTGGCACTCTAACACACAAGAGGGACACCTGGGTGGTTCAGTCAGGTAAGCGTCTGCCTTTGGCTCAGGTCACAAGCCCCACATCGGGCTCCCTGCTCGGTGGGAAGCCTGCTTCTCCCTCTCCCTCTGCCTGCCGCTCCCCCTGCTTGTGCTCTCTATGTCAAATAAATACATAAAATATTTAAAACAAAAAAAAAAGAAAGAAATACAAGAAGTTGTAAATTTTTTTTCAAATTAAATATATATCTGGCTGATATGAAAATAGAGCTGGGAGCAATAGAAAGACTTCAGGAAAATTAAAAATCCAAGATAGAATAAAACTATTGCATGAGGCAAAGCTGACATTGGAATAAAAGCAAATCAGCAAAGGGAACGAACAAGAAACTCCCTGACTACAGAGAAAGGACGAGGAGAAAAACCATGAGAAAGAAAAGCACAAACACCCACGTGCCACCCACGCACGGTACGACCAGTTTTCCTTACGATATACACATTTTCAAAAGGAGAAGAGTGAATGGTGCTTATCCATTCACCCTCTTCCCTTGAAAAGTTTAAGTACAATAATGTAGGGGGGGGAAGGCCAGTCTGCAATGGGCTAAGAAGTGAATGGTTAGCAGTAAAAACAGTTAACATAAACCCAGAGGGCTCACCATCCACACGGCACCTGGCAACGTTCCAGGCAGGGCCCCCAGCCTGCCCACTGCCCAGCAGAGGAAGCTAACGGGAGGCCAAGCCATGAGGCCGGCCTAACACAGGGGAGCCGAAATCCCGCCCAGGCAGGCGGAATATGGAGCCAGCATTTAGCCTCTGCACCGTAACTGCCTCCAGCCTAAGTATTATTGGGTTTCTTTGAAGAAATGAAAATAAATGGAACTGAAGCAATAATCAAAATCAGAACTGAAGTAAACTTTCCTGAAATGAAAACAATACTTCAGTATATGGATCAAAAGGACTTACTGTGTTCCAGACAAAATTAATGAAAATAGACCCGAACAAGACATAACTTAGCAAACTGAACTACAAGGGCCGTATACTGTTGTTTTATTGTTGTTATTATTATTAGTCTAAGCTCCAAGAGAGAACAACAACAAAAAAAATTAAAAAGGTTTTGTGAAAGAACAAAAGTATGCTAGCCTCAGACATGTCCACAAAAATAAAGGTCAGACAAAAGGGAGCAACATCTCCAAAATTTTAAGAGAGAATATCCCCACCCTGCCCTCTACACTAAATTGATTCTAGTTTATGTATGAAGGTGACATATTTTATCTAGGGGTCTTAATACACTAAAGAAAGAAAAATCACAACAGCCATTTAAAGATGCATTAGATCTAGATATCTGGAGTTTATCTTTGTAATAATCTTTGTTTTTATCATTACTGACCACTTTGCCAGATCATTCTATACTAGCTAATTTTCCCAATACTGCTAGCTTACATAAATTATGTGCACCAAAATATGTATTTTCACTTCTTTCAATGCTAATAGAACATATGTGAAAACTATTTTCAAAAATGTATCACAGGTCTACACCAAAATATGGCAGTTAAAAATCTGCCTAAATGAGAAAACAGGTATTTGCAAAGAAGTGTACCAGGTGATATCTGAGGGTCATTATCCACTAGACAGAGTTAAAATATCCCAGTTTGCCACTTCAAATAATAATTATTCAACATTTAAAGCTTCGAAAATTCCTTGATGCAGTATTTTGGTAAAAATTCTTTTCCAATTTGAAAAATGAATATTCTCTTTCAACAATTTAGTTTAACTAAATTGGTTGTCAGTCCAGAAGGAATTCCTTATCTTTAAGAACACAAAATAAAGACGACCTTCCTTTACAAGTTCATAAATACAAAAAGGTTTCAACTGTTTGGATAATTCTCAATTTCCATACGTACCAACTCCTCCCTCACCTCCCTGACAGTCTAGCCCACCTCGGAATTTTAGAAAGTACTGTAAAATTTGACAGTGTTCTTTGGAAAGCACAGTGTTCCAATTACCATTTCAAAAGACCTTTTGGGCAACATCAAGCTTAGATATATAAAATGCATTCTTGTGTGTCAAGAGGACTTATTTTTCTTTTGCTAATAGATTAAATGAGTATAAATCTTTTACATGGAGTACACTGTTTTTCATTTACTCATCTTAATGACCCACTGAATTTAGATCATGTAAAAATACAAAATTAGATTAGGAAATGTGCTCTATTCAGTCAGGAATATGTAAGATCATGTAATGATTCTTAATGCACTTTCTTCTCAAACTGTTATTTTAGAAAAGTAGCTTACATACACTGTGCATTAGAATTTTATCATTGCAAACCAACATTAGAAAAGACTTCCATCGACTGAGAAACAAAAAAGACATTCTTATAAGTGGAAAATCAATCACCACAACCACTAAATGTCACAGCTCAACATCAGCAAGAAGCACTGATAACTGTTAGTTATACACTGCACAAATGATGTATGTCCTAGGTTGAGGAAGTGGGTGCCAGGTTTTTAGAAAACTCTACATATATTGATTTTACGTTTATGTAACGTGGCCATTGTAAGATACTTTATTCTTCTGATAAACTATGATTGCTTATCAAAAGATTCTATAATTCAAGAGAAACATTCATAACTTGTGTGAAAATGAAAACCACCGGCCCACAGAAATCATGCCCACAAAATCCAATTTTGTGGATTTATGGTGGAAAGGCATTAAACTACTGTCTTGCAGGAACTGCAGACTAGTCACTGAAGTGTAAGTGGCACAGCAGTAATGATTAAGGTGACAGGTCCCCCTGCCACAGCTGTTAATCAGCTTAATACTAGTTACATTATTGACATTCTTGTAATTACTTTTCCTAAGGTACATTTGTGCGACATATATTTTACTTTAATTATGAGCAATCGGAAGCAAGTCCAATACCCAAAAAGAATAATCAAGGTTCTCCTAAAGCAGGTATACAGCAAGCAGAGTGCGTTTCCAAGCCCCTGGAGTTGGAGACCATCCCAGACCTCAGAACCAGACAGTGTTTTCCACGTCCCCATGTCATCGCCATACCTTGCCATCCTCTGAACATACGCCCATGTGCTCTCCACTCTCATCCAGGCTAATCTGATTTATCTTCACGGGACTCTATTCAAACAAACAAACAAACATGTAAAACTTCAGGAAAATATATACATCAACAACCAAATGCCTTGGCTCTTTATTTAAGTGAAACAAACTATCAGTTTAGATGTGTAAGTCTAAGACATACTCGGTTTTTGCAAATGAAAATGGTAAAGTACAGCTTTGCTCTCACACATATAATAAACCCGGAAACCTAAGATTTCTCAAAATTATGTATTGCACGTGCTTCAGTCCCAGCTAAAATGTTATTTTTGTTACAGGTTATATGCCTTTTTATTTATTCTGTTCTATTTACTCCCCATTCCAAAATTCCTTCCCAACCAAATCCATTAAAAGAACATAACAAATGCCAAAATAAAAAATCATGAGGTAAAGAAAAATCTTCACTGTTTTAGTTTGGTACGTTCTTCTCTCATAAATCACTAAATCAACTTTGTATTTACACTTTATGCTTAGTACTTTCTGGGGGGAAATCCATAGGGTCTAGTTGATAGTCACTAATTTGTTATGCCTCTTCTTTTGAGTAATCTCAAATTTTAAAAATCTGTCAAGACCGAAATCAGGCATTCTACTTCGAATGTCTGTTCCCAGGCGTAAATACACAACGGGACTTTTATGATTTTTCACAGCTTTCTAGTTTTCTATGTAGTCAACTGTTTCCTTACTAAAACATTCATATAAGTGGATTTTCCAATAGAAGTAAAAACCGGTAAATGTTGACAACATTAAAAAATGGCAAGCTTTTTTTTCCCCTTCTTAAATAATGGCAGTTTCCTGCTATTTTACACAAAACACGATCGAACAAACTAAGCATGGAAAGAAAAGCCTTCATCAGTTATGACATGAGTCTGAGAATTCGTTTTTTAAAGTATCTAACCTTAAGATAATTTGGCTTGTTGATAAGAATAAATGGAAAAATACAAAATGGAATGTTCCTTTCTCAGTGGAAAGTATCTCAGAGCTAGTAAGCAAAGGTTAGGGCAGACCAAGACCCCCAGACCTCAGAAGGCCACCCACTGACTGATGCTATTGAGAGAAATTCCTCAGTCGCAGGATGAGACAGCTGGCCCCAGAGTCCTTCCTCGTGTTGATCACCGCACAAGCAACATTCCTGAAGTGCAGTCTATGAAAAGCAACCTATCTCCTTAAAAGTTCCTAGAATGTTGAGGTGCCTGAATGGCTCAACTGGTTAAGGGTCTGCCTTCAGCTCAGATCATGATCCCAGGGTCCTGGGACCCAGCCCCGTGTCTGGCTCCCTATTTAGCAGGGAGACTGCTTCTCCCTCTCCCTCTGCCCTCACTCGTGCTGTCTCTCTCAAATAAATAAGCAAAATTAAAAAAAAAAAAGTTTCTAGAATGTTAAACAAGGAAAGGACCTTGTAGATAGATATTTGATCCCTTTCACAGGGGAATAAACCCAAGTCCATGGATGAGAATCACAACAGAGAAAGAGCCAGGGATCTGACCTAGAGAGCAGGGGACAGGCGTCCTGCACAGGGAGAGTGATGGATGGCAAGGAATACGCAAAACAAAATACAAGCCGAACTGGGAAAGCAGTGAGGCCAGCGCATCTGGACTCCTGACTGAGAGGCCCGACTGCTCAGCTTCTATAGTCTTCTTTGGATAAATGCTTTCCTCCCTGAGAATCCTCCGGGACCAATTTCCTGACGCTCATCATTTTGTTCATAAACCAACATTTTAATACCCATTTACTCTTGGCAAATATAAACCCTGCACACCCTTAACTGTAATTTAACTGACATTTGGTTATAATCTATCTCAAATTACATTTTAATAGGGGCACATAGTCTATCAATGCTGATAGGCTGTCCTGTCCAACACAGTAGTACCTGCATGTGACTGTTTGTACAGAATCAAAACTAAACAAAATTGAAGTATGCCGAGTGCTCAACCACCACACGTGACCAGCAGCTATCGTATTAGACAGCACATGAGTCAGAACATTCTCCTCACTGCAGAAAGTTCTACTGGATGGTGCCATTCCAGGCCTACAAAACTGAGATCCACCGCTGAATGCAGTCCTTCTTTATAAGGCCCTTCTTTACAACAATGTACAATTAAGAAGTGTATTTCCTTCCCATATATATGTCACAATTTATGTGATTTTTTTTCTTGGACTCTGGGACTCTGTGTCAGTCCTCTCCAGGTCATACTCCATCATTTTCAAAGACCCAGCAGATACAGTAGCGGACACATGGTCGTCACCACCTCACGATAAGGAAAAGGAGGCCTCAAGAGTTTCTGAGAGCTATGTGGAACCACAGTTCTTCTCAGTGGCTAGGTAGACTTTTCATGACAATGTGTTCTTTCCCGAGTAGAATCTGTACCACCACATTAACAATGTTACAGGGAAAAGCAGATCTACAAAGTTTGAGATTCCCTTCCCTCACATCCCTGTGAGCAACAGAATTTTTTTTTTTACTTTTTTTTCTGCCAAAGATCAATATTATTGATTTATTTCCCTGACTACTAATAAACATAAGCATTTTCCTTAAGTCTACTGGCCAATTAATTTGTTCAAGCAGTTGAGCTTATTCACAGACAGCTCTTGCTCATTTTTCTACAGACATGTTTGTTGTTTTCTTGTTAATTTCCTTTTTATTTTTAGGGTATGAGGTCTTGGTACAATACCTCACCCAGACATTGTATGTGGTCTCCTTTTTTTTTAAATTGGAAGATGGCTATTGCTTTATTTCTAATGTACGTATAAGTTTTTAATACTTTTGGGACTCATTTTTTTCCCAAATGGATATCCAGTTGGGGTAGCCCCATTTATTAAATAATCCATCCTTCTTTTGAAGAGAACTGTTTGTCATAAAGTAAATATTCACATGCCCTCAGATAACCTTCTGGGTTTTCAATTGTGGTTTCTTTGTCTGTTGCTATATCGATTCATCATTGACTTAATTATAATACACATAGTATGTTCTGTTACCTGGTAAAAGGCAAGACTGAGCCAAAGATCTCCACTTTCCTTGGCTTTTTTCGGGATTTTTAGGCTTCTGTGTGAAGTTAAAGATGAAATGACCCTCATGTTGCTAAACACAGTGGTCAATGTTCAAACCTAACTTACTTTAACTAATAGGCGGATGTAACACTGCTGATAACGTTCTCCTTCTCTTTGCTTCCAGGATACCATACTTGTCTGGTTTTCTTTTAAATTTCCAGCTTCCCTCTCTGTGTCTTTGGCCGAATTCTCTCAATCTCCTGATTTCTATATTTCAGGTTCAGTCCTTTGTGGCTCTTCTCTTCCTTTGGTTTTCTTCCAAGCCATGAACTGACTCCTAAATTTTATCTCTAGACTGGGCCCCTCCCTCTTTCAGACCAATATACAGAACTGCCTATTTTACAGATGTACTTAGATGCCTACCAGGCATCTCAACTAAAGCGTATCCCAACCCAAGATCGTAATGCTCCCTTATGAAAGGGCCCTTCTTAATGTTTCCCTCATCCTGGTTAAGGACAACTACATTCTTCTGGCTGCTCAGGGCAAAAAACCTTGGGGCCATTCTTGACCTGTTTTTCTTTCACACTCTACTGTGTTTCTGTCAGCAATTCTTATCATCGCGTAAACCAGATTTATCCAGACCTGGGCCACTTTCACCAGCCCTAGAGCTGCCATCCAAGCCACCATCATTCTTGTCTGGATCATCCTAATAGTTTCCTACCTAGTGGACCTGCTTCTGCTGTCACTCTCCCAGAAGTCTGTTCTCAAAAACCAGCAGAGAGCTATTGTTAACAGGTTGATCAGATAATGTCATCCCTTTCAAATCCTCCAATGGCCTCCCATCTCAGGATAAAACCCGAAGTTTTTACTATGAGCTGAGAGTCCTCAACAATCTGGTTCCAGCCCTCCCGCCAAGGTCTCCCTTCATCTATGCTCTGCCTTATTCTCTCTCCTCCAGCCACAATGACCTTCCTGCTCTCTTCCTGCCTTAGAGCTTTTACACCTGTTTGCCTGGAATGCGTCTCCGCCAAATCCTCACTGGTAGTCACCTTCTCAGGGATGCTTTCTGGCCACCAATCTAAAATTTCAACATTCACCCAAACATTACAACTCCTTCACCGCTTTATTTTTCCCCTGTAGCATTTACCACTACCTACCTTACTATGTGTTTTACTTATTTATCTTATTCACTGTCAAACTCACTCACTACAATAAATTCATGAGAGAGTTCAAAGAATAAAAAATTCCAATCACACACAAATTCTTACAGAGAACAGAACAGAAAGGATATGTTTCCCAAATCATTTTAGCAAGCCAGCATAACCTTATAATAACAAAGCTCAACAAGGATATTATGAGAAAGAAAAAGTACAAGTGAATCTCAGTCATGAACATAAATGGAAAGATCCTAAAGAAAACATTAATAAAGGGGCGCCTAGGTGGCTCAGTCATTAAGCGTCTGCCTTCGGCTCAGGTCATGATCCCAGGGTCCTGGGATCGAGCCCCGCATCGGGCTCCCTGCTCAGCAGGAAGCCTGCTTCTCCTGCTCCCACTCCTCCTGCTTGTGTTCCCTCTCTCACTATGTCTCTATCAAACAAATAAATAAAATCTTTAAAAAAAAAGAAAATATTAAAGTCAGCATATACTAAGGCTAGTATAACATAGGGAAATGAACTAATATATTATAATTCTCTACATTGAGAAAATAAATGAGGAATATCAAAAGATCATCTCAACAGACGCAGAAAGTGATGAAACTCAACACCCATTCCTGGTAAAAACTGTTGGCATGGTGGGATGAAAAGTCCTCATTCTCACTTAATGGTGAAATGTTGAAAGCTTTCCCTTTGATATCTCTACAATATTGACTCTTCTAATCCATAAACCTGGAGCCTTTCTCCATTTATTAGACCTTCTTCAATGTCTCCAAATAAAATGTGATACTTTTCCCCTTGGAGGTCTTGCACTTTATTTTATTCTGGGAGTGGCAATGCCTGCAAGCACCCTTTTCTCCTTCCTGGTATGTATAATAGGAT